TTTAGGAATGAGGGTTGAACGCTGCCGTCACATCAGGGCAGGATGGCATTTGATCCCATAGTGAACCAGTTACTGAAGTGAACTAAGCCAATCAGACCAGTCAACATTCCTCCTCTACACTCACAGGCAGCCATGAGATTGTGTCACTCTGGGTAAGTACAGGAAACATTTCCAAACAGAGTCTACAACACAAAATATAGTAAATAGCAACGGCAGACCTGTAAATTACATTTACTTTATGAGCTATCCAGCTAGGGACAACTATGATGAGTTTTTGCCTTAAATGTGGGCAGGAATACTGAAATAGTAAACCGAGTTTGAGATTTCTACACCAACCTAATGCCTCATGAAAGCAGACACTCAAACCACAAATTGTAACAAAATTGGAAAAAAAGTCTGTGGGTGTTTAGTCTTTGTCATATAGCAAATTACACCACCATCCATTAACGCAATTTCAGGTATCTGTCTGCAGACACGTGTTCTCATCATTCAGTGAAAGAATCAGAATCACTCTGGTTCCACCAAACTAGCTCCCGAAAGTAAAAATCTTCCACAGATATTGTCCTTCAACAACTGAGGATATTTTTTATCTTTTATACGAGGTTACAAATCAGGGTTGCACATGACCTTTCAAGTAAATTCAAAGGTTACTGGATTATACACCCATTTATATAGTAAATTCATGCATCTTGGGCAGATCGGATTCCTCCGCTGATTGTTGCCATCTTTGTCCTCTCATTTAGGCTTGCAATTTCAACATACGATACGATACGATCATATAAAAGGTGTCAATGTAGTGCAGTGCTGTCGCCTGTATCCGTTTTACCAGCTTCATGGTGGTTCAGACCAATCAGTGTCCTTTGAGGAACTACTGGCAGCTACAGGCCTAGTTTAATGCTAGGTGTGTGTCACAACGTTGGAGAGAAGTGACCATAACTCACACTATATATGCAGATGACACTGAAATATATATCATATATTTATTATATTTATGCTGCTCTTTTACTGAGAAACAATGCTATAGATTGGCTGTGTATTATGCTCAGTATTTACTATTTAGGAGTTGTACTAGAAATAGTTGACCAAAGTAGTACAAAGTAGTAGTTTTTTCTGTCAGTACATATCTTAACTTTTACATGTTACTTATTGATCTTTTGGTTACTGCCATGGTATTGAGTCTACCTTACAGATGTGTTGTTTCTGTGAACATGACCCTTTAGAGGACATAGATGCTCATTTGTGTGGAGAATATAACTGTTGGATGTGGACATGGACCTGTGTTTGTCACCATGGTTTAGAGTAAGTAGGTACATAACAGTCCAGGCACCTGGGGATATACAGAGGTGTTTTTTTTCTTTTAATGACCTTTTGGGGTACACAGAGGTCCATCCCTGTCTACCAAATTAGTTATGTGCCTCAGCTGAAACAAAAGTTTGCATAATTGTTCCACTACTGGCTGAAGTATTTTAATCTTTTTCCCTTTTACTTTTCATATTTATTCCTCATTTGAATCATTCTTTCTTTTTCCGTTTGCTATAAATGTATAAAGTTTGCCTTGACTTTGACTGCTCTGTTATGTTGATATCTGTGAATTCACAGCAGCATTTTACTGCCTCGTTCTCTTACGCAATTCCAGAGGCCTCTTTAAATGGTTCCTATGAAGCTGACGTAAAAGTTTTTTCCCAATTTGCAGCTCATATTTGCAATGAATCTGAGTCACATGACCTTGAAATAGCAACAGAAACTACTAAAAGTGTCTGCTTTCTTGAAGTCATAAGAAACTTCACTGTGCAAAGCAATCCTCTGAGCACAGGAAATCATTGCAAATGCATGGCTTGGGGGGAATAAACAGTTTACTTTGAGAGGCTGCCAGCTCCATGCTCCTGATACCTTAGCATCATAAACCTACTAACGGCACAAAGAGACGACCAGATAGTTCTTCACTTTATAGGCAAAGCAACTTTTTCACCAAAATGGCAGAGCAAGAGAGTTAAAATGCATAATGTCGCACTATAATCACTGTGCAATTAAACATGATGCCATCGTAATGAAGTCATAAACTAAGATGATTCATTATGCATTGTTTCATTTATTCTTCAACTAGTTCTTTGCTAAATCACCTATCTTAACATACGGCAGCATTTAAAAATTAATTCAGTATCATATCTAGAAATCTTATAATATAGAAGCAAGTTTCCATTTTTATTCATAAGTATACAACAGCAAAGGGCTTCAAATCATTTCTACTCGATAAGAGCGGCATATCAAATATGGAGTTTCTATTTTCTTGAGTGACCCTCTTCATAAGAATGTGTCAACACTAGGGTTGTGCCTCTCTCTTCGAAAAAATCCGATACGATACACGGCCTACAATACATTCAGGGACGATGCATTTTCATACGGAACAATTCAGTGCGATCCGATACAATCTGATACCGTTCTTAACATTTGTTTAATGTAGACATTAATTTTCCATTCTACATTAAAATAAGCCAGTTTTAGCTAAGTGACACTGCTTACCTTCAAATACATATGTTTTCTAAAATATTTCAGAATTACATGTCATTGTGTTTTATGTGTTTTTCCAACAGACAAAGACAAAGATACTTTCTGATGTGATTACCTTGGACCTCGCCCAATTAGAGCTAACTAAGTGTTCAATATCTTGAGTGTTCTTGCTTGTGCTAGCTGTATTAGCATCTACAGACTCCTCGACGCATACATGTGTCACCGTGCCGTCTCACGAGGTGAGTCATTTGTGGTGCTACAGCTGAACTTAACTGCTGTCTGACAGATCTTCCAAATGGACAGTTTTGTCAGACTTTCCTTACTTCTTATAGAAACCAAATGTTTTCCAGACTTTAGATTTGATGATGCCCTGTAAATCGTGTCTACGTTGTCAGACATGTTTGATTATGCTTTGATTATCCGTGTACCGATGTAGAAGCATCTATAACGTTAAAACCATTTTCGACTCATAGCGCTAAATCTTTACACTCCTAGTCAACACACAGACAGACAGGCAGACACCAACATGACAACTTCAATTTCTTTAACATGCCAGTGACAGATACAAATGAACACATGAAATGGGGCTTTGGGCTGACGTGACAGCAGCTGATGAAACCTACCTGTGAAGATGGGAGACACAAAGGGCATGAAGAAAGAAGAGGTGAAGGAACTACAGGAAACTGGAGAAAATGGAGATGAAGATGGAGAGGCGAGAGCTGAAAATGAAATGAGTAAAAGGTGTAAAGGTCAACAGACATGACTTTGAACTGCAGCGAGGATGAAAATGAGGATAACATGATAGTATGTGGCATGAAGCGTGAAGGAGGGCAACAAGGCTGGACCTAAGCAGCTGCCCCGGCATCTCACTGTAATTACCGCAAATGGTCTTCACCGTGTTGATCTAACAATGTTTATCAGACTCCCAGAAGGAATCAACTCTTTCCCTCTGCTCTCTACACCTCTCTGATGATCGATGGGACCACTCATACAAAATGCATGTGAGCAGTGAATTATTTATTGTGCTTTTTATTTCCCTCTCATACAGGGGAGATGTGAGTTTAAAAAACCATGAGCTGAGCTGGTTCAGGTGCCGGGTCCATCAAAACGTTGTCCCACTTACAGCAAATGTGACTCCTGGATGTCCTGAGCAATCTAAAACACGGAGGAAATCAATCTTATATCAAATGTACACTCCCTGAGTCCTGCCTGTCAACAAGTAAACAGTGTTCACTTCCATATGTATTGCTTATAGTGACTGATATGAATTTAGGCTGGTCCTTTGTGCTTCCCTCCAAGTTCACATTCAGTTGAGAAATATGACTTGTGTGAAAACAGATAAAAAGGGAGAGAAAGAGGTGAATGGTGTCTGAACATGTGCCACATTATGAATGGAGGATTCAACTCCCGAGTAATTCTTTTATCAGAGCTTTATGTTACAGTAGTTTATCCATGGATCACGACTTTGTAACACACAGACCTCACAAACAGCTACCACAATAAAGTCAAAGCTCATTTCAACACTCCAGAAATGATCAACATGGTTGACTAAAGCTACTAGCTACAAGCAAGCGCTGAATTATCCCGCCCTTTCTCCTTTCCTGTACTTAGATATAATACGTGCTACGCTCGTCTATCTTCAAAAGACAACCACATTTTGAAGATGGTTAAATAATAATGTTAACTAACCCTAGCTAACTAGCTAGCTAATTAGCTAATGATTTAGATGCACGACCCCCCCAGAATAATCAGGTTGGCGTTCACGACCTACTACCTAATTTGGGATACAGTTTATATAAAGGTCAACCCACAGTGAAGCCTTTGAAGAACCTTGGGTTCAATTCAATTCAATTTAATTCAATTTTATTTGTATAGCACCAATTCATAACAGAAGTTATCTCAGGACACTTTTCAAATAGAGCAGGTCTAGACCGAACTCCTTATAACATTTCAACATAACGGTTGATTATGCTTCTATAAACCCTTCACCTGACATACAAGCACACCCCTGCAACCTCATACATACTGAGCATATACAGTAACTGAAAACAACCAGCTGAGATGTATTGCTCTAGACCTCCTAACCTTTGGTTGTTTGCCGAAAGTTATAATCAACAAGACGCAATTTACCACCAGAGGATAGAACATGAAGAACTGTCTTCACAAAACCAAACTTATGTACTGTAGAATCAATGATGACCAAAACTGCCCTGATATCCGTCACAAAGAAGCAGGAAGTAAGAAGTAAGTAAGAAAATGTTTTGTTGTATCTTGGATGAACCAGTCCTGTAATAAAACCTCTGGCAGTTCTATAATTTGTATTCAACTCTTACAAGTCTCCCAAACTATTACAATAAATGATAAAGTAGAAGATGAAAGAATGTCTGGGAATAAACCAGACAGCAGGTCATAGAAAATATGAAAATCAAAATAAGAAAAATTGAGAGAAAATGAACTCGGTAACTCTGAGTCATTAAGGACTTATCACGTACCTTGTTCCAAAAGCCCCCCTGGTCCCCGTGGGGGAGTCGAGGCTTTCTCCTGGCTTGGCTGGCCTGTCGCGATTCATTTGCTGCAGAATGGAGCTCAGCTCTGTGATAACGGTGTTCTTGGTGTCTGGTGTGGATGGGGGGCTGCGCAGCTCAGGGGGCTGATCGCCCCACAGCTTGGATGTCCTTTGAGTAGGAGTCCTAGGAGGTTCAGAGGAAGGGGGAGGGGGAGGTGCCTGAGGCGGTGACCCATAGGACTCCGGGGGCTCTTCAATGAGAGCATCATGATAAAGCGATGTTCTGTTGATGACGGACTTGCCCTTGGGTTTGGGTGGCACAGGGGGCCGATCCACCAGGAAGGCATGCCCGTCTGCGGTGGCATAGAGGCTCTCCAGAGTGCTGTCGCAGAAGCCTCCTTCTGACGACAGGGTGGAGATGCTGGAAACTGTGCTGGTGGTCTCCATGTGCTGAGGATCCCCGCTACTGCGGCTGTCTACCTCTTCGATACCCGAGTCACCCACCCCTGACTCTGGGTCAGGTGGAGGAGGAGGATATGAGGGGGGCATGCTGTTTGACACTCGTTTGTGTTGATCAGTGACAGGTGGTGGGGCGTGAGCGTGGTATGGGGGTAGAGAAGGTCCCCCATTTCGTCTCTGTTGCTGAAGCATCTCTGCAATGGCACTAGCCTGGTCATCAGGAATGTCAATACTGTTGGCAAACTCCAGAGGTGGGGGGAGGGGCTCTGTGAAGTCAAAATCCTCGTCAATGTCAACTGAGGCTAGAGGGGGAGGGGGGATGCGGAAGGGCAGCTTTACTGGTTCATCCATGGACTCGCCTAAAGGAATACTCCTCCTCCGTGACGAGGGTGGTTGTGGATTGGCGGACAGTGTTTGAGCTTTTAGAGGATCGGGTTGGTTGGGGTCCTTCAGCTCAGACGGCCTGTTGCTGTCCTGCCCCTCCTCTTGGTTGTTCACCTTGTTGCTTGCGTCTGTGCTGGTGTGGACCATCAACAGCCCGGCTGACTTGGTGTCAGCCACATCCGCAGGCGCGCTTTTCCTCTCCTCAACTGCCTTATGCTGCCGCTCTTCTCGTGCTCCATCGGACTCATACTTCTGCTCCGTCAGCTGCCTCCGCAGGCCACCTCGGCCAGGCCGGCCCATGGTCGCAGTGGAGATTGCAGCAAAACTTGTCTCGATCCCGGAGCGTAGTTTGGTGTCAATAAACAGCGGTTGGTTGAGGTCTGGTTTGTGGCTTGGCTGAATTGGGAGGGACTGGGCTTCATGCTTGGGGGTTTGCTGAACCTGAGGAGGATTTTGTGACTGATTCTGAGGATGGTTTTGTTGCTCTTTCATGGCCCGGTCACGAGCTGCCAGGGCCAGAGCTAGTGGAGAATTAGGGTCCAAGGGCTTTCCGGTGACAGGATGGAGGTAGGTCCCATTGGCCCTGTAGTGGCTCTTAGGAGGAGTGGATGGGAGACTAACAGGACTGTCCAGGTTGGGACACTGGCCTGTTCTGGTGTTTAGAGGCTCCCGCACCACTGTGGGTTCAGGAGTGTTGAAATCTGTCATGTTGCCACTACCACCCCCAACAGGGGGCCCAAGCTGTGCCGCAGGAGGGGGAGCCAATATCCTTCGAAGCCGCTCGTCGCTACTGAACATGCCTTCATCAATGGACTTTGACTGGCGAAGGCGAGGGGTTGGCGTGGGACTACTGAAGTCATCATCCCCCATGTCTATTGACTGGAAGGCAATTGAGTGTTTTTTTGCCTCTAGCCTCTTCTCCCGGTCCCGTACTGCCCCGGCAATAGCTGCCGCAAAGGGGTTGCTTAGAGACATAGGGTCTTCAGGACGCAAACCTCCACTTCCACCAACAGTGGGTGTGAGAGGTGGGTGTTCAGGGGTGGTGGGCTCGATCTCCATACTGCTACCCTGGCTGCTCTTGCCACTGCTGCTGGTGGAGGGCTCCTTAACGATTATGGTGGGGATGGGTATGGAGGAGCACGTTCGTTCTACAGGCGTAGTAGGCATGGAAACTGGGCCCGAGGGGCTTGCTGGCATGTGACACGTCTTCTCTGGACTATCCTCAACATTGGACTGCTTTACTAGCATGCCCTTCCTTCGAGCTGGTTTTGCTGGCACATACAGTGTCTTATTGCCCACCTCGGAGTAAGGGTTCTCTGGCACTGGCGTACGCCCTCGAGTGCGCGTGCTCTCAAAGTGCTCTGAGCTCTGCCGGAAATAGCCACGCCTTAACGTGCCAACGTCGGTGGTTCGGCTAATGGTCGTCACTGCATTGGGAGAGTTCTGGGTGAAGCTGGGTCGTGTCGTGCCGTAGCTCTTGGGTGTAGGGCCGGCAGCTGAATTGTAGGCAGGTGGCGAAGGGGGTGAAATGGCTGGGGGAGGAGGGATGTCCTCTGAGGTGTCGGGCATGGAGAGACTGCGGGAGAACTTGAGTAGGGGAGGTGTGAGGAATCCCTGTTTCTCATCCTCCGATGTACCTTGGTGAAATGGAACAGAAAGAAAATTATGTGAGGACCTGGGGGAGACATCTCTATTTTTTATTTTCAGTACGGCCTCTTATGTGTCTCATTTATTGATGTGAGCTCTTTATTTATCCAAGCAGGAGGTTCCTGAAATTTGTGAGAGGCTAGATAAATAAGGAAATAGACGATTATAAGATGTTTACTCCCCCAAGTGGGAATATCTTGGTGAGTTAATTCGACCAATTACTACCAAATAAAGTCTTGAAAACAGAAAGAAGTACAAGAATAAACATTTATATTTAAGGCGGAATGCTAAATCAAAATTAAGAAGCGTACCCTCGGTGAGTAGTGTAGATTTAAAAAGTGTCAGGTCAAATTATTTCAATTAGAAGACCTAAATAGCTCAAACAAATTGACATCAATTGTATTTTACCTTTTATTTTTTCAGAAATTGTAGAGATCAGCCTTGTGGTATCTAGAGGTGGACAGATCTAACCAGGGAGAGTCTGCAGAACACGTTTCTTTACTTTACTTACTAACTTATAGTTGTACATTTTTTAACTGTGAAAGTTGAGGGAGGAAGTGCCTTGCTCATTCAATGAGTGGCACTATTTAACTCTCAGAAGAGAGCTTTTTCCCAGAGTGTCAACAAACCAGAACATGCTAAAAGTGCTTTCATTGCAATTATTGCAGAAAAAAAGACATTCATTTTTTTGTTATAATAATGATGGCATTGCAAATCAAAAGAGCTGTGAGTAACATTAGCCTGCATGACGTCCCTCTAGTTCAGCAGTGAGAATGAGGTTTCAGCATATGCTTAATGACCTCCAATATTATCGCCTGAAAGCACACTTTGCTGACTGGATCATTCTAATTTATCTATAATTAGCTTTAATATTGCTTGAGCACACAGAGCAAGTCCTCTGAGCATTAATAGAATATTACGACGAGCTAAAAGCACAAGGTACTGGATGTGCAGTTCACAACTCAGGCCGACACTCACATGCCCCCCCCACACACACACACAATGTATATACATCATACCTATGGACTTTTGCTTTTTCATAGTGCCCTTCTCAGGTATCCCCAGGAAGGCCCCTGGCACAGTGGGTGGCACCACTGCTACTCCCTGGCGGTCATGATACATGGACTGTAAACCAGAATGTTGTTAATGATTTACCCAGAAATACACAGCTGTATCTCTCTGCTGGCTGTGGAGACCAACACTAACAGTTCCAGATATCTATCATTAAAAATAACCTACAAATCAAACTGTGGTAGCACTTTATTCAGATAGACCGCCTACAGAGAATTGACTGAGTACTTGTAACATTTTAACTGTTTTGCTTTGTCTTTATGTTTAACAGATTTTATAGCACGGTCTGGGTGAATACTCGATTCTGATTGGCTGCTGGGTGTCCATTAATCCCTGATACAGGAAACCTTCTAAGTGTGTTCTGCGCTCTCTGGCTCAAAGCTGAGCCAAAGCGCTTTATGAGAGGAGGGAACTAGAAATATCTCCCGTTGCCACGGGGTATCTAAGCAATGCAATGTATAAGAACCTTATGGGATGGCAATTATTGTTCCAGGTATTAGTCAAACCCTCAGGTGTTACCAGGGAAATTGAGTCATAGCTTGTTTTTTTCTTTTTCAAGTGGCCATGGTATAAGAGGGATAATGCCAGACGAGAGGTCTATTCATGGACATCTCGTTAGTTATTATCCCTTACATCTCTAGAGTATATGTGACACTGATTATGACCATACCTTAACCAAGATGTTTTTTATGCCTAAACCTAAAAAACCTTAACCACAGTGGTGTAAAATCAGAAAATGGTTGTTGAATCTCAGCTAATAAGCTGTTGAAATGTTACAAATACTCTACAAACTATCTGTAGTGTAAAGTGTTACAGAATTGTATTTAGGTACTTCATTTGTGGAGGTAGCAAACATACAGCCAAAAACAGTCTAAACACATTTAAAATTAATATAATAGACTGAAACAAGACCCCACTCACTATATACTGTGTATGTAGTTCTGTTCACTTACATTCATATCAGCTGCCGTAACCAAACAGCGACTGGATGGGCGTGGTTTGATTGTGGCGATCTTCATATCAACAGGTGAGGTCTTCTGGGCGTGTGTCATCTCTTCCACTTTGTCTGTCGAGATAAAGCGAGCCACAATGAGCAACACAAACGGCGAGGGCGGGACTTAACTTGCAAAGCCTGGGTAAGGTTGTCACGGGCCAAACGCAAGCTAATCATTCACAGTGACCCTTTCCTGTGTTTCCACACTGAATTGCGGATGAAACTGAAACAAAAAAAAACATTTAAACAAATTTTGGGGGGCGGGGGGAGGGGCGCACAGGAGGACTTTGATGAAATGTGTCGGGTGTGTCCAGCCTTGCAAGCCGTGCAAGCTCTTTCAAACAGCCGACTCAGCAGCATCATCCACTCTCAGGGTCGTTCCCTCATTAAATGTAAAATGAGCGATGGATGTGAAGTCTGTCAAGTTTGCCGTTATCTTTCTCAAGTCTTATTGTCTTTTGAGCCTGCAAAGTGGGAAAGGTGTCAACGGCAAATTTGGCAGAACTGAACTTCCCTCTGGTGTGTGATGATGCCATCGGATCAGAGTCCACCTAAAGGGTTCTGCTCAGAGAAGCTACATGCTAGCCCTGATCTAGCCTTTCACACTGGGTCTCCTCCCTGGCTAGCTCTGTCTGGGATGTAGAAAGCTTCCATGCATTTGGGGGAGTGATTACTTAGAGTGACTTGGAAAACAATCCTCTTCTTCTGCGCATCTACACACAGAGGAGAGGAGTGGGGAAAGGGGAGAGTTGGGGAGGGGAGGAAAGGGGAGGAAAGGAGCGTCAATGACCTTAACTAGAGTTAGAGCTAAAACAAACACACAAAAACACACAAAAACACACAAAACAGAAGAAAATGCACATTTCCTCTCTCTCCGATCCGTTTCCCAATTGGACTGCAGCTACACCATATCAGACAACATGCAACACGGTTGCCCTGGAAACCTATCTGTGAGTGAAACATTTCCTGGAATAAACCTCCCCCTCCTTACACACACACACACACACACACACACACACACACACACACACACACACACACACACACATATACACGGTTACACACATCCTGCAACACAGGAGAAAAAAAATAAGGCACACATGAAGAAACATGACAGCAAACCTTTTTAGGTCAGGTAAAATGAACAAACATTGACATACAGTAACAGTGTTTTGTTGTTTGCATACACACACACACACACACACACACACACACACACACACAGTAAAATGTTCTGTAATCCCTCATTAAAGGTCTGCAGCTATGTTCCTTTGCATCTGAGGCTTGAAATTCCCCCAGAAAGTAAGTAAGTGGGCTCGCTGCTGCAGATTCTGCCTACGTGAAGGGTTTAGGAGGCACTCTGAGGTGAACTACACCTTTTGCTCAAAAGTGAATAACGGGAAAACTCGGCATCCACGTCAAAAAGAGGAAGAAACAAATCATCTGTGGTTGTGAACAAGAGACAGAGGAGTTTAAACATCTTTCTGTTTGACATCACTACAACATTAAACCATGCACTGACAACATTGAGAACACAGTGAAGTTCAAAACATCTGTAAAGAAACACATTGTAAATCATGCAAATACACTACGGGTGTAACGCCATTTGATTTCACTGAAAGTCAAACATCAGAAAAATCTAATTCTTCTAGAAATATTTAAATAAATCGTCAACATATACAACAGTGTTAGTTAATCACAGTGAGTCACAGGGGTGGGGAAATAGTGGATCAGATTTAAACATGCCTACAGCAACTTACCACCTTTCTTTTTCCTTAGAGTTGCTTAAAGGGGTGACAGAAAAAGATTCTTCAAAGCACAAAAACAGACTCAAAACTTCTCCCAAGATGAACAGAAGTGTACTTGTATTGTAGCTTTGTTTAATTTTTGCAAAAAGTATTCACTCTGTGGATTTTTTATCTATTTCAATTTGTCCTACCGCTGCAGATGTTGCGCATTTACATTCCTCTGAAAGCTCTTCAGACTAAACAGCGAGCAATACTATTACTACTATAAATGTGTCAAGTAAAGAATGAAATGCAAACGTGTCAAATAAGCAGCTCCAGGAAAGACATGCTGACCAGACGTATTTTTATGTCAGCAATTTTCTGCAATATGAGTGGATTCCCTCTCCTGTCATTTATTTATTCATTCACCTTTCATCTCTCTGCCTGCTCTTTGCACACCTTTGACACAGGGCACAAAGCTGCAATTACTAATGATTGATCCTGTAGTGTATAACACCGATCTAGCTGCGGATGCTAATGATGTTTTTATGACTGATTCATCTGTTTTTTTAATTTTTTATTAACCATTAAATCTATATAATGAAGAAATATAGGGAGAAATGTCCATAAAAGGTTCCCACAACCCAAGGTGACACCTTTAAATTGCTTGTTGTCCTAACAGAGGTCCAATTTACAATAAAACAAACCAAAACACTCACATATGCAAAGTTGGAACCAGTGAATCTCAATCTGCTTAATTAAACCCAAATTTGACGAATCAATGAATCGACTTTTTGTTTCAGCAGTAAGTAGAGTTTCTGTCTGTGTTTAATAAAAGAGATGTTAAAGTCAGAATCCTTAAACCTCATTTTTGATATTTATGGTCAACATTTTTTCTGCAGTAGCCATTCGATGTGTATACATTCAGTCATAATCAAAATAAAATATTTATTTTTGTTGGTGGTGGCGGAGTACGCCATTCCCGTACTGAATTTAGATTGCCTGCCTACTGTTAGCATGAGGGATTCACTGGGAAAGGATACATGCATATAATCCAGTGCAACTTTATCTCACTGACAACAGCCTCACTGTTCACTCTCTTTACACCAGTGGTTCTAAAACTGTGGGACAGGCTCCCCTTGTGGGGCATAGAGCCACTGCAGAAGGGTCGTGGATGACAATGAGAAAAGTATAGAGTGAAACTATGTTGAATTTTACAACTTAACATAATAGTGAAGTTAGAAATGAAGCCTTAGGGGAAAAGAGTAGATTTTTAACACAGTAAAAGCCATGTATTTAATGAATGCTGTCATCTACTAATTAAATTGATCATGTGACGTCAGATGCGTCAGGATCTGGGCGGCTTACCACCTTTGCTTAACAATTTCCTGAGGGCAACCAGGAAGTGTTAGGGTTGGAGGATGGTTTCTATTTTCATATGGTCCCACTGCGGTTACTCGAGATCACCAGTAGGCAGTGGGAGCGGGATGCCCAAGGACAGCCTAAGTATATTTCACAGCCCATCTGCAAGCTATGTGAGAGAGGTGCCAGTAAAGGACCTGCAGACCACTAATGTATCTGCACACATAATACACAATATCGCAGCATCACGTTACAGGATATTACAGGGTTCCCGCTCTTTTTAAGAAGTCATTAAGAGGTTTTCTGACAACACAGGACAGCACTTGCTCACATACGATCATATAATTTACCAGTAGGCCTAGTATTGACTCGCTTTCACGGAGTCTCCAGCGAATTGAATACGTTTTACTAGTTTTCCTCGAACTGTAACATCAATGTCTCAACGGCAAAAAGGTCAGTTTGTTCCACTCCATGTCTGGTTAACCTGCTTTGAAGTATAATAGCGTGCAGTTTATCTAACCCAGTCAAGTTTCAAACAAAATACGCACCCAGGTTTACGTGGCCAATCAAGTGAGGGGCTAGAATATCATTTAATATAATATAATTAAAATCTTCCAGGACAACATAGATTATTTACAGGATATTTGGTCATCAATTTCCAGGTGTTTTCATTACTGGAAAACAAGTCTCTAAATTTCCATGTATTCCAGGTTTTCCAGGCTGCCTGGGAACCAATTATTTTATCTTTAATATCACAATCCAAATCATATCCATAATATTAACTACTCTTATGTAGCGGAGGGCGAAGTTCAGGTGATCAGGCATATGGAGAATAGACATACGGTGTCAGATCCATGGAAAAGAGTCGGCACTCTGGTTTGTAATTAAGGATTTAAAATTCACTCGTCACTCCTGATGATTAACGGGGCTCAGCGGGCGGACGTCCCGCTCCACCAGAAAGAGCTCTAAATGCACAGTAGGACGCAGATTCTAGAGGTTATTCTTATAACATCTTACTTCTGATAGTTCAAATTATCTTAACAGCTGCATAGGATCATCAACCGGTCTATAGTCTTCTATCTCACATGCTTCCTCCCTTCAGTGCTGCCTTCACACCTCCCTCCCTCCCTCCTTCTATCATCCCTCTTTCCTTCCTTCCTCTCTAAGGCCTGTTCAGCACCGATGTGGCCTCCCTCTGCTCGTGTGCCTCAGAAACGCTGACTGCCCTGTCTGTCAGAAGGTATTAGCAGGGCACTTTTAATAGAACGAGGGTCCTCGAAGTGGAACTGACCACCACACACACACACACACACACACACACACACACACACACACACAGAGAGATATAACAACAAGGAAACAAAGATAATACTATCACACTAATGTCATATTTTTGGCTTATTTGCTCCTTGTAGCCACAGCCACAGCTCATGGGTGCGGGGATCTTTAGAAGTAAGACTCCTTCATGCATAATGGCAAAGGAGGACAGGAGATGAGGAGGGAGGGAAAGCCAAAAAAAAGAATAAAACTTCAAAGCAAAGTGATCAAATGATGAAAATTAAATTGCATTAGCCGAACAAAAGCTTCATTCAGCCGGTGTGAGCCGATGGATGTTGCAGTTAAGCAAAATGGATGGCAAAAGGTTATGCAGCATTAACTGCTTACCTTTATCCACTATTGAGAGATTAAACAATCAATGAGAATAAGAAAGAACAAAACAGAGAGAGAGCTGTTGTTAGACACAGACTTCCTAATGACATCCTGAGTAGAAGTCAAACCGGGAAGTTCTTACCGAGTTCCTCAAGTTCGGAGGTCATGGACTTGGAGCGCATTGACAGGGCTGTGGTGGGGGCTCTCTTTGGTGGTGGAGGAGCTGAGGGACACAGCGAGACACATAAAATACACATGTCATTTAGTTTTATTCAGAGATAAAGTGGCTTTACAGTTTCTCATACACTGTGTTCATGAATTAGAGAGCAGCAACCGCTCTGAACTGTGACATGAGTTACATTTTGCTTGTATGACGGGAAATGGTTAAAAACTAGGAGACGGTTCCCTGTCGGTGGAAAAGGCCTATGACCGTGTGGATATCTGATGCTTTCACATCACCAACGATGACGACAGCCGTTAAAAGGTGAGGTAGGATAAAAGATGAGACCCATGTAGCCACCTCTCCACCACAGGAACTGCAGATGGAGGAGTTTAGTGTAGTGCAGAACTTACAAACACAAAAAACAAATAGTCAAATCTTTATACTGAACAGCCAATCTGATTTGACTGACAGAAAGCCGTAGAAAACTGGTGTTGGGAATGAAAATGTGATTTCAAACTTTGAATTGAGACAGATTGAAAAAAGGAATAACACAAACACACCCTAGCTCTTTTTAATACACCCACAGGTTTCACTGCTACAGCTTTACTTGTTCCTGTAGTGTTACATAGCTAATGTTGGCAAACTTTAGGTAGAAATGGCTGAATACCACACTTAATTCTTCTCTTTCTGCTAATGTTACACTGTGTTTTAGCATTTCCCTTTGTACCGTAATTCTTACTTGTGTCCGGTTCCATAGGCTCCCTTTAATTCTTAGTGTGTGAAGTTTTGAATTGTTCAGTTCTGATAATCTAACAACCAACAGGCTATAATTATGCTGTCTTAATCCTCCCCAAAAAACTGTTCGCCACAGCTGACTTTTGACAGCCAGCAGCTTTGTATGAAACACGTGACCTTCTGGTGCTGTGTTATTTTTGTTGTTTGCATTGTGAACATGGAGTAAGTCAGGTTTCTTGCTGCCTCAGAGGGATATTATTACATAACACATCATCAGTCTGCACACTGCTTTACTGCAGTCTTTGGTACTTTAATACAGGAAGGACAACTGTTACAGCAGAAGGGTTTTCACACCATTTTATTACACACAGTGCACAGCTGTGTCCTGCTGCTCCACACCAGAAGCTCATCCCCCTTACTTTATCTGCGAATCCACGTTTGGCTTTGTGTTGGGAAGGAACTATCTCGCTCTTTAGTGTAGCACTCTTAAATGTGTAGTCTAGCAGCTGTTGTACCTTTTTTGCGTGCCGTGTCCTCAGGGTCCAGATTCCGGCTCACAGTCACCACCTTGATCAGGAGCCGGTTGCCTCCCTGGCGGATCATGTTGACCACCTGCCTGTGGCCCACCTTCACCACATTATCCTGGTTGACCTGCCGTAAACACACAACAGTGGAGTCATTCATTGGATAGAATTCCTTTAAGTTTGATTGGGTATTTGACAACATGGACTTACTATCTATGTTTATGCAAGGCAGTGGCAACAAAACCATCTCTGAAACTGTCGCACCAAAGAGAAAGTGCCACAACCATGTCAGGACCTTTCTCCTGGTGAAATCTGGTCTGAGCAGCTTCCTCCACCATGACCTGAGCAGAGGTCTCAACAGTCGAAGTCGAGTGCAGGATATTGAGAGACCAGTTGTGACTTTAACAGTTAGATTTCTCCTTTGATTCTGCCTGCAGATAATGGCACACCGCACTGAGTAGACTTCAAGGAAAAGGCTGAAAAAAGCAGTTTGGAACCTGACCGTGGATATGCAAATATGGTGGCAGGGTGTTAGCGCTTTCTTCCTGTCCTTCTGCCAATCTTCATAATTGCAGTATTCATGTTGGCGGCAGGAGAGGGAGCTGCAGCCGCTGCCCTCACAGTCGCTCTTCAAAGACAATCAGAACAAGTTGTGGGCCCCCCGAAAAAAAAAAAAATCCAGCTGCTGAAAATTCACCCCCAATCCGGTTATAATTAAAGGCGACGCGCGTGTGTGTGTGTGTGTGTGTGTGTGTGTGTGAGTGTGTGTGTTTCTCTGCAGAGTTCACAGACACCAGCGGGCCACATACAGCTCGTATATTAACATCTGAATGTAGCTGGTACCCAAAACGCCACACACCCCCACGCTCATATCAGATTTTCGTCAGTGCAAATAAACACACACACATTTTATACTTTCTCTTTCAATCACACACATGCCCACATGGATGGCTTTTAATCTCATTACCGCTCGTCTAATTTAATATGGGCCCTGCTGCAACTGCTCCTCTCATCTCCTCTCCGGTCTGCTCCGCCCCTCCTCTCTTCTTCCAGACAAATAGTGGAGGAGGGGGTCAGATGGAGGGATGAAAGAGAGACCGGCCTGCAGCGACAGAGGGATGATGGATGGCAGGAGGAACAGAAAAGCTAGAGTGGTGGATGAGGGGGGAAATGTAGAGGACGATGGCGTGATGGCGGCGTGGCGAGGTGATGGAGACGGAGGGTTGGACGCACACGGAGGAAGACTTGATTTTCTCTCTTGTGGTTTTAATCTAACAAACGCTGGCCGGGCGTCATGAGGGAGGACATTTTGGTAATTAGAGAGAAATGCTCCAACAGCTGTTTGTGCGTGACCCCGTGTTCCCTCCGTCGTGCTCCATCACACACGCTGAGGTACGCTGATACACTCCAGTACACACACACACACACACACACACACGGACACATATAGGGGTAGCCTTATGTAATCCGCTCTGTATTTCCACCCTGTTATGTAACTATGCTTGAAGGATGGATTCACACACACACACACACACACACACACACACACACACACACACACACACACACACACTCGTGAATAATTTCTTCTGCCAAAATCATAGTAAAGAGTCTGTTTGGATTTGTTGTGAGACTGATTTGGAGAGCGTGTTTTACAAGGATCACGACATGATGACAAAAAACTGAGAGCATATTTATCTTTAGGGGTTGAGTGACTGTCTCTCTATACGTCAGCTGTTACAATGTGAAAGTGAATTTACTGTTACATTTATTCATTAAAGCTGTAATCTGTAACATTTCCTCATTAAACAGTGGCTCTATGTTCTATATGTACCGTATTTTCTGGACTATAAGTCGCTCCGGAGTATAAGTTGCATTTATTTAGAAATGTATTTCACAAAATCCATGACCAAGAACAGACAGAGACTATGTAACTGGACACATAGAGGCCAAAAAGATTGAGAATTCTACCGGGAATGTTAATGGAGACGAAGGAGTGAAATGAGGTGAGCTGGGCGATATGAAGGCGGCCAATTTACAAAAGATTCACTGAACAAAAATGCTGATGTGATACATGCAAATTTAGCTAAGAATGTGGAGAATGCAATGCAATCAAGCATTTTGGGCGATGTCTAGGCAAACGCCGGCAGCAGAGCAAATACTCGGGAGGCTACCTCATTTAGAAATGTATTTTACAGCATCCAAGACCAAGAACAGACATTCAATCAGGAAATGCAAGTTAAACACAATAGCACACAGAAATTAACATAACACGCCACCGCGTCCAACAGGCAAGTTACCGGTAGCATGTTCACCATCCATTAAATTCTTCGTCCTCTGTGTCGCTTCTGAACATAGTTGTATATATAACGGCTCTGGGTGTCACAAGCCTAGAGCGCCTTCTCGCGGCTGTGGACGGTAATGTTTAGGCTACTCCTCGTTTCATGTCAGAATTATTATTCAAAAACATGTTAAATTTCATATATAAGTCGCACCTGACTATAAGTCGCAGGACCAGCCAAACTATGAAAAAAAGTGTGACTTATAGTCCGGAAAATACAGTAGTTGTGTTCTAACATTATCCCAAATGTTAACAACAATGTTCAAACTCAGAGAAATCTGTTATTTTATTCAGGTAACGCTGCGTTTTACCGGTCGCCTGTCGATGGCGTCAGTGTGTTTAGTGGTTTTAATCAGCGGGTCTGTTTGTGTTGGAGAGGAGGAGACCTCTGTGGATCATTGGGCTCCCGGTAGAAACCTCCTGAACCATGAACACTGAACGAATCCTAACCGGGAGAAGCTGACTGCAATGGTGGTGAAGACAACAACTCCAACAACCTGCTTCGCAACCTCATCTAACTTCATCTTTGGTTATTGTTTATACTTTTAGGTTGGCTTAAATAAAGCATTTAACAAGCTGCACAGCATAAAGACTTCAGCTATGACCAACCGCACCAACCTGATACCAAACATCTCTCTCTAAACCTAGAAGAAAGTCTGACCTAAAGCACACCAGGTCTGAAAACTGCTTCCTCTGTCATCTGGAAGGAGGAAGCAACTAGAGAGTATAATAAACGTTTGTAGTTTATCTCAGCTGTCTGCAGATTTTAAAAGCTTTTTACATACTTTACATAGAGGTGTAATCTAGGACAAAGATAGCTTTATTGTCATTATGTGTCCTAAATATGACCGGCAGCCATCTGGTGCCAAAGACTATCTTTGAGCAGAGACAGAGGTGTTGATCTTCCCCCATATACGACTCACTCAGGCCTCAAATGTGGTCCATGCAAGTATTCGAGCACACATAACATAACCCAGCTGTAACAGCAGTGAATGTACTCAATATCTTACGGGAAGGTAACAAAGTGAGGTTACAAACACTTGGTTGTGTCATTGGTCAATAAATTAATCGTACATAATTATTTGCTTCAACCAAACAATACCAAATTGATTTCTTTCCCTCAATCAAAGCTTTATTTCCACAGCAACACATATTCTGAGACAGCACTGCAAACAACAGACCTCAGTCCTCATGGGGGCGATGTAGAGCTGATCAGACCGGTATTTCTGTTTTCCTGTCTGAATGAAGAAGTGACAGACTCTATATGCAGATGCATGCAGATGTGTTCAGCCCGAGCTTCATCAAACTGAGCAGTCGTGGTTGTTTAGAGCCGAAGTCGACCACAACAGAAGGGGTCTGCTTTCTCTTGTTGTTTCATGCTATAGTGCCCCCTAGCTGCAACACTCAGACTGCAGGTCTGAAGGTCACACAATGACAACTGAGCAAACTCCATCTCCTGAGGCAAGCTGTAAGAGGAGGTCCAAAAGTAGTAAGTAGACTTTAAGTCAAGCTTTAATGTCAAACAACTTAAAATATATATTGTAATACATTGTCACATTTATCATAATAAGATTAATGTAACTGTAGTAATTTAAATACATCAGTAGATGATATTTTTTTACCTATAATTACAGTGGAGGCAATTAAAGCTTCTGGACTTCTGAACTGGACTTTGGGCTGATTGGTTTACTGAACCTCAGGTTAGATGTCAATTATTGAAGGTTTGAGATCATTTATTGAGTCTTCGATTGGTAAGAAATTCACTATACAGTAATTTGATAAATTCAGATGATCAGTTTGACCTACTACAAAGAAAAAGGAAGTAAACTATACTAATTATAATTACTAATATTAACCATTAAACAGCATAGGAAAGGGACAAAAAATAGGAAAAGCAACAGGGGAGTAAAAATTGCTATAAACACAAACTATCTGATTAATTAAAATATTTACTTTTTTTATTATTTTTTTCTTTGCTTGTCTATTTTAATCATTACAAATATGGAATTAAATAAATAAATAAATAATTCACCCTTGGTGGTAGTCAGACGATGGCGTCAAGGTGCAAATCAATGCGCCGGCTATCAGTTACATGCAGACGATTAGTGATATTGATTGGTTCCACAGTAATTGTTGCTGGTGTGAATGCACCATCAAACACAGACACACATATGACACGTGTGTGATTTATTGAAAACTGTGTTCTTTGTCTGGCTGGAAGAAAAAAGGAAAAAGAGAGATGAAGCCCGAAGGCCATAAACTGCCATAATGGTGCCTGAACCAATAACTACAAGAGAGAAAAACAGCATTGAACCAGCAGCTTTATGGCTGAACATTAACAGTTTAATCAATAGCCACACACACACACACACACACACACACACACACACACACACACACACATATAGATGCAAAACACACAAAGAAATCAGGCCTCTGATACAATATGCATGTAAAAGCCGTTCTTCTGTCAGATCAAGCAGAAGGGCCTATTCAAAAGCCATTATCATTATCATAACCATTATAATAGTTCCAAAACATTAAGCATCATCCGGCCCATTTAGCTGAACGCAGGCAGCCCTGAATCTGTCTGATCACTCAATCTCATCTCACACAAATATTCCTCCTTCACTCGCTGACAATCTGATTAATCAATTATAATCTGACCTCCGTATGCAGGCGCGCGCTAAAATCACACGCCGCTAATCCAGCCCGTCGGAGCAGGCGGGGAGGGGTTAAGAGGCGCCGACAGAGGTCAGCTGATCTCTCTTCAGAAACAGAAATAA